TGTTAAGGCATCTTGACTAAGCCCCCAGGTGTAGGCGTTGTTATAACTCATTTTCGCAGTAGGCTATTTGACAAGACGTGCTAATTGTCATTCTTAAATTACATAAATACACATAAGTATATTATATTTCGATCAAAGTTATCTCCGACGAAAGTAAACTTCAAGAAAGTATTTGGATTTGACAAGCGAAACTATTTCATTTTGACATGCTACGTCATTAATCTGTTATCGTTTTGTGTCACGTGAGTTAAGTATAAAAAACAAGATTTTTAATAATGGATATTTTGTTCCATAAAGCGTTTCAAACTCATGTTTTATACAAATTATTATTGTAATACTAGGTTTGGTTATAAATTAGAATATGTTTAACGAAATGTTATCGATGTGTTAATACAATTTATACGATATCAATAAAATCTGGGCCGGAGACGTGGTCAAATAAAATGTCATATAATCTTGTATTGCAGTATTGCGTAAGAGACCTTCTTGTCCATATTGGGAGAAGCGGGTCAAGTAGGACTGGTTTGCACGAATTATGGGACAATAAGATATTTAAAACTCACCCTTATGGCTTGTCAAGGTCGTTTATAAGTAAGAAACATTTTTCACTTGACAGCACGCGACGTTGTTTCCATGGAAACAGAAAAGCCTATTTTAAAAGTCTGAATCCCGTACGTCAATTTTTTATAGGTTTTTTTGTTTATTTTGACATACAGTTTCTGTCTCTGAATCTGTCGGAGTGTTGTACTGTCCCTTAGCATGTCGGAAAGTTATATAGATTTATAATATTTGTACTCTCTATTGATGCTATATATTATCTTAGCATATTGTCTATGGCTAGTCATTCAGTAACACGTATTGAGAACAGCCGTTAATTTAAAAAAAATTGCAAGCCGTCAACGTTTCCACACACGGTAAGGAATGTTAGAAAAACTGTAGTGGGCGATAATTCAATATTTAAATTAAGTAATTGTTTGATGTTAAATTAATCTTCTATAGACGAATAAAAAATAGACATAGCTTATAACCGCTATCGGTACAGTGACCTTAGGATTAATGATCTCAAAGAGCATTTATTTTTTAGATATTAATTTTGTTTCTTTTCTTACTTTTAAGACGACAGCTTTACTAACCGAGGGCTTTTGCGATTATACTGGATAACGTATATCTTTTAATTATATAATACTAGCTGACCTGGCAAACGTCGTTTTGCCATGTATATCATTTATAATAAAAAATAGGGGTTGATAGTAGAGGGGTGAAAATTAGGGGTTGTGTGTATTTTTTAATGTTGTATCATAAAAACAATTAAAAAAAATTTTTTTATCTAAAAATTAAAAAATTATAATTTAGCGGTGCACTACCCTTAACATTTAGAGGGATGAAAAATAGATGTTGTCCGATTCTCAGACATACCCAATATGCACACAAAATTTCATGAGAATCGGTCAAGCCGTTTCGGAGGATTTTAACTACAAACACCGCGACACGAGAATTTTATATATTAGATTGTATAGTATCTACAATGTCAAAAAAATATTCATATCTTATTATAATCAACATTTAATGTTCATAACAATCAAATATACAGTAGGTATTGACAATTTTCTTAACCTACATATTAATAAAAGTACTTAATTTAAAATTAATAAAAACAAATTTAATAGGTTTGGTCCCTGTGGCTATACTTTTAACGCTGGCAGCATTTCCTCGCTGTATTGCATAGAATCATAGGTACTACCGTACTAAAATACATTTGTTTAATATAAGTTATATAATCTAATATTGGTAAGAATCGTAACGTTTACAGAATATTATATTATTTATTAAGTTATACGTTCTAAGCTAGCGTCTATTTGAATATATCGTAAAATGAGAGTAACGGATTTTGATATCTTGATCGCCTATTGTCTTTCATGCCGTTCTAGCTTTGGTTAACTGTTTAATTTAAGTTCCCAAGCTTTCGTTTAATGGTGGGATGTTTGACTCAATTAATTACCTATAACGCGAGTTTAGGAGGTTATTAAATTTACAAATTAAATAGTTTTTATTGAACACCAAATTATAAAAAATAAATCAGTGGCGCTACAACCTCTTTAGGTCTTGGCCTCAGATGTCTGAATCTCTTTCATGTTTTTTTTTAATCTAATAGGCAAGTAGGTGATCAGCCTCCAGTGCCTGACACACGCCGTCGACTTTTTGGGTCTAAGACATGTCGGTTGCCTCACGATGTTTTCCTTCACCGTCGAGCAAATGTTAAATGTGCGAACACATAGAAAGAAAGTCCATTGGTGCACAGCCGGGGATCGAACCTACGACCTCAGGTATGAGAATCGCACGCTGAAGCCACTAGGCCGACACTGCTCAATATCCGTTAGTAATAAAAATATTAAGATAATTTTCCAAAATATTTTCGTTGAATGGGAACAATTGTGGCAACGAATAAATACGAGTTGAATAATTAAGATCTGTAACGCCATATGCTTCGGTGGTTACTTTCGCCAAAAGTTACTGAAATTTAACATTATATAACAGAATCGTGATAAAACATTTTATTTTACCGTTTTTACGGTGACTGACTCGGAACGCGAAAGTTATTTATCCACATGAATATTTTTCTTGGATTCATTTATTTGCAGAAGATTAAATTTTGAAGAGAAAACAAAAATCATAAAGTATTTATTTCGTTTTCTCAATAATATTGGTAATTTGACAGATTATGTTTTCTTAGTTACACACAGACGGATTCGCGAGTAGGTACAAGCTAGGATATATACTTATAACATTTAATTAACTATAATTACTTTGTCCAACAAATCTTTATCGAAAAATCTTATTCGATAAAGGTTAAGGGGGATTTAGGTGTGATGTTTTTGCGACGGTTAAAGATCAACAATTGGAAGTACTTGCATTTGGGCACCTAACTAGGGGCTTGCTACTTCCACTTGGTACCCAAAGCCCTGAGAAGCACAATTAACTATCTATCTTGCTCTATCATGAACATCATGAGTGTTAATAGATTTAACTTTTTATTTAGCTTATTTACGATAACATACAACATAACGATTTGAAATAATTAAAAAAATTAAATCGCAATATTTGTAAACAGGAATTTATACACTATATCATGGTCGTGAAAAACCCATTACTCATAGGAAGATAATTCCAAAAATAATCCTAAAGAATCCTTTATCAAAGCGAACGTCATTAACCCCTCTACCAAAAAGCTTTCAGTGTTCAAAACACAACGTAGACAGAAATCACATTATCGTATTGGGCTGGTGCATATACCTACTGCACCCAGACGTATAGCCCACTTCACCCCCCTTACGTCTGAATGGCTTAGGCGTGCACCATGACTAAGATATAATAATAATTGATTTACTATTATTTTTTTATGACTCTTCAACAATTATTGTTGTAGAATACGGCGACAGATATTTTTTAAATTTAGAATTTATAATGAACAATTACATAGCTATATTCATTACATCATTATTGCTATGTAATTAATTTTAAATATAATAATAAAAATAAACTATAAATTTCATGAAAATTATGTATAAATAAATTGTATAAAAAAATTCTATCTATTTTTAATTTTATTAGAAAATTGTCGCGGCCGGCGGTTTTATGCTTTAACTTTTATTTCTAATTTTATAAATACAACATAGTAAAACATGAGAATATTTAATCTACTTACTTTTTTAGGTCCATTTTGAACGATGTTCTCGTATTCCAATCCTTCTACGGACATTTTAACAATTATCACCTAAAATTTTACACTAAAAACACGAAGATATGTGTAGTAAAAAAATTTAGAAAACACTGCGCGCCGTCGCTCAATCGTTAAAATTCCACTAGATTGAATAATTCACATCCATGAATTTCGATTTGTACAAGCGAACAGAAGCTAACAACCTACCGACACGAGTGTACTAAACAAAATGCCGCCCGCACAGCCTCCCTTCCAACAAAGGCAGCTAACTACACACTATACACACGGGTTGCGCGAATTCTCGATGCACTAATACATAAGCCTTTTGGATATTATCTAATCGCCAGATTAGATTATTTGACTTTCAAATAACTTTAAGGAATAATGAAACAAATATTTAGGTACATGTTGTTGGACTGCTAAACAATTTTAACTCAACTTGCATGCGGTTCTTTTTGTCTCCAATAAAATATTTAAAGAATAATTTTTAGCAAAATGTATAACCTTTGATTTAAGTTTTCTACATTTACATTATATTTAATTATGTGGACAATTATCAATTTAGTGTCCCATTTATGAAATTAATGTTCGCGGGAAAGGTTAACGTTTCGCGGGTTTTTTTTTTGTTTTAGGTGGTTGGTACTACTTTTTGCATTAATATCTCAGACTTTAACTATGCTATTTTTTCAGAATAAGAGGTAAGTAGAGGTTAGAGGTTTAGCTATGCTTTATTATCATATTCCAAGATATATTTGATGCTGTGTTGAGAACATAACGAAAGACTACCTCATATCTCCATTGCGAACTATAAACAAAACTTATTAGATTAATATATTTAAATCAAATTTTTGCCGCGGTGGCGTTAATACGTAAGTACCGGATTTTTGGGCTTTTCAATATTCGGTGTCTTCATAATTTTTTCGTCTCTAAAGTCTAAAGCCTAAGTTATATATCTTTGGATATATTACTGATCGGACTTTGGAATCCGTCTACCGGCAAAATTGGCAATTAACATCCTCAGTCCTCACAATGACCCTTTGACATATGTCAGAATCACTGTCAACTATCGTATTTGATAATGACAAGTCAATATTTGTAAGTAAATAATATAAACACTTTTTAATTATTTTCCCCGACCTATTAACATCAATATATGTAACTCATTAAAAGGTTCATATTAATATTAATCTAAAAGTAGCGAGGTATATATTATATATTCAATAAACATTTACATGAACGTTAGTTTACTGTCTGCAAATTCGTGTTTTAGGGTTATGTGAAAATGTGTGAAGAATTCAAGTTATTAAAACAAGGTGCTGAAGCTAAGTTGTTAGTGTGCAACTATTTAGGAAAACCAACGCTTATTAAGGAACGGTTTCAAAAGAATTATCGACATCCAGATTTAGATGAGGCTATAACAAAAGAGAGAATTAAGAATGAAGCCCGATCAATTGTTCGCTGTAAGGCAATTGGTGTTAAAACTCCAACTTTATATTTAGTTGATTTTGACCGAAGGCGTATATATATGCAGCATTTTGAAAATAGTATTACAGCAAAAGATTTTATCATAAACACTAAAAAGCTTGAAACAGGCGATGGATCAGATAACCTTAATATACTTTCCCAAAAAATTGGAGAGACAGTGCGAAAGTTGCATGAAAATAGTATTATTCATGGTGATTTGACTACCTCCAATATTCTAATTATTAAAAAAAATCCTGCCTCCAATGTTTCAAAATCTTTGGAACAGGATAACATGGAATTAGTAATGATTGATTTTGGCTTGTCTCATACATCATCTAATGCAGAAGATATGGGTGTAGATTTATATGTGTTAGAAAGAGCTATTATAAGCACACATAATGACTGTCCAGATTTGTTTCCTAGAATTTTAGAATCTTATCAAAACATTAAAACAAAGAATAAATCTTATAACATTAGGGAAGTTATAAATAAATTTGAAGAAGTTAGAGCCAGGGGCAGAAAGAGGACTATGGTTGGTTAAGATTATGATAAAATAAATTGTTTAAGCCAGTCTTCGCTTTTATTGTTATAACTGTATATGGTTAAAACTCTTGTAATATGTTATTATTTAATGTAAAAGTTTATAACCATAGATTAATTAATAATAGTTCGTTCTTGGTAACCATAGATTAATTATTAATAGTTCGTCTGTCCATTCCTGGAGGCTGTGCGTCAGTCTCGTGAAGCGTGTCTTGTCCTGTGCCAGATCAGATGCTTAACTCTATGCAGACATAATTATTAAGACACCGTCTTCCTTGGATTACTCATTACCCATAATAATTATTAGAAGAGTTAGTATTGGTCATGGCGCAATATCACGTACGGACGCGTAATTTATTATTTTTATGTGCTAATAAATAATCTGTGCGTAATTCTGAAAAATATATTCAGTCCACAGAGCAATATATGAGATTTACATGGTTATGATTTGAGTCTGTGACTATTACAAATAATAATATAACCTAAAACACGCTTAAAGTTAAATTTTTAGGGTTTCGTTAGAAGAGTTAAATGAACAGTGTTTAGAATTGTATTTAATTTTGCCACAATGAAGCGGAATATCCAGTGTTTATTCAAATCGTTTAATTACAATCAGAATATTACGACTACCTTATCGAAAAGTAAGTTTTCACATCATTCTTTTGCCTAAGGATGATTTTCTGCTAACATTAACTTTACAATTTTAGGATTCCTAAGTTCACAAGACGCAATAGACCGTAGACACCATTTGTTCATGCTAGAAAAAAAACGGCAAATAGAAAATGTGGGAAGAATAGAAAAGATAGAAATAAATTATAAAGGGATACCTAAAGACTGCACTTTGATTATGAACAAAGATATATCAACACCATATGACTGTGCTAAACGTGAGTAATAATATTCTGATTTATTACTTACTATCTTTCTTAATGTTTACAACAGTACATTACTCAGCTTCATGATACCTAATAATATTTATATTTTATAACTGTCTTATTTGTTTAATTGTATTACCTCTTATTTAGACATTTTCAAGTCTTATAATATAATTAAACAAAATTTAATTAAATATTTCAGATCTGAGTGAGTGGCATGCTGATACCAGTGCCTTAGCTCTTCTTGATGGAACTGTGTATTGGGATATGCACAAGCCTCTTACTGACAGCTGCAGTTTAGAAGTGATTACCTTTTTGTTGTTGTTACATAAGTATCTCCTACTAATAGTAGATTATTAATTATAATATATCTAAACAAGTTGCAACACAGACTGATATTTAATGCCTTATACTGTTACGACTGTTTTAAAGAGATTTCTAATAATATCTATGATAAACTTAAGTGATTAATAATCATTAAAATCTAACGGAATTTTCTTAGTATAGCTGTAATTAATTTAGTTGATGATTGCAAAATCCTGGTAATATGAATATTATATCTTTTTAATACTTACATCCATATATCTGTTGAAAATTTTGCCAAAAATAATGTGAAGATAAACATATTACTATCTAAATTACCTGTTACCTTATATTTTCAGTTGCAAAACTTTAATGTGCCTGAGCCGCAGCAAGTTAACAAAGCTTTCTGGCGAAGTTGTTCACTAGTTCTTGGTGCATGTGTGACGGCAGCATTCAAAGATAATGTACCTGTTAAATTGCACAGCTTTCCTGGGCCTGACAGTAAATATTTCTAGTAGTAGATTTTCTTTTTTGTTGAACTTCACTTCGTCACTTCTATATTATATAACAATATACCAGTACCTTATTGTATACCTCTTGAAAATGTAACTATTAAATTCATTTAAAAAGAATGGATATTATCTCTTTAGATGTATGTGACATGACAATATGTGTAACATTATTTTTGGAGAATATAACACTTTTCACATGACTATTTCAGTCCGCAGTGGTTCATTCATCTATGATGTAGACTTACCATCGCTCCCTGACTGGAAACCGACTCAACAAGAGCTTCATACTTTGAGTGCGGAATATGTAATGCTGAGCAGAAAGGGTTTCCCAATAGAGAGATTAGATGTTTCGGAACAATTGGCTATGGAAATGTTTGTAGACAATGAACATAAAAGCAGTCAAATACCTAGTATTGCTAGGGCTAATGGTGAGTTTACTTGTAATATAAAACATTGAAAGTTTCTAGTTATTCTTATTATTGCAAAAGTATGGAAGCAAATGTTTCAAGACAAGTATATTAGTATGTTCTCTCTTATTTTTAAATAAATTAACAGACTTGGCTATTTTAATATGCTGTTGCAGGAAAAGTAACATTATACAAAGTAGATAAACATGTGGATATATCAAAAGGGCCATTGATAAGCAATACTGCACAAATTGGAAAACTTGCAATTTGTTCCGTACATAAGATTACAGGTTAGATCTTTAATTACAATTTTATACTTTAAATAATAATCTATACCAAGATTGATATGTCTAAATTTAATAAAATTTTCAGGTACTTCAGAGAGTGATGTAAAGCAACTCTATAGGTTTCAAGGTGTTGCTTTACCAACTGGAGTGGTCCTCAATCACTTTGCATTCTCAATACTCACAGAACGAGCTAAAAAATTGGTGAGATTTTATAATATTGTTAATTTTATAATTAATTTATTATATTAGAATTAATATTAATTGAAAATATTGAAGTGATTATTAATTATCCACCATACAGTTCATCTTATTATTGTTATTTCAGAATTCGGCTCGTTCACCAATCAATCCATTTGTAGATACACGGGAACCACAGCAAAGTATAGCAGCAAGTGCTTAATAGTATAGTTTTATGTAGTTTATAGCTTTAATAAGGAATCATCTTAATAAAATGTTTAAAAAAATTCTTAGTTTCTTTTGCTCTTCAAAGAAATACAACAGGGTAATTGTAAGTCAGAGTATTAGGTGAATTTTAGTATTTAAAATCTGTTTTGGGTTTGGTTATTAACTTTCACAACCTTTTTTTAAATAATAATGGCAAGACCTTAGACTATATTAGATTTTAAAAAATATGTTGACCTGTGGCATTACAAAATAACATATTAACTAAGATATAAAAGATCTGATATCTTTTTTGAAATAACAAAATATTATTTTCCATTTATTTATTCGCTTTTAGGTTTCTTAGCATCAGTGGGTCCATCCTCATCTGCAAAAATTGTGTTTGGTTGTGTATTTTTATAAGCAGGCGACACCCAGAATGGATTCTCCTCTGCTTCTTTAGCATATTTCAGAATAGCCTCCCTCGGATCTTGTTCGTCGTTCACTCTTTTACTCAAGCCCAAATTTCTTATCACAAAAGAGCTTAATGTACTTCCTGATGCTGCAACTCTTCCACCTTGACCTGAAGTTATTGGAAGATCTGGTCTTCTAGACTTAACAGGATCCAGTCTCTCTTTTTCCATTTTCTTCTTATTTGTTCTCAACTTCTCTTGTTTAAATAATGGTAGTGCATGAGGTGTAATAATTTGTTGAGAGCTAACAACTTCTACAGATTGTCTCTTTCTATGAGTTTTGACTATACACAATTTAGCACCGCGTAAACTCCTCTTGTTATCATAATAGCATTTAACAACTCCATTACCACAGCCTATAAAAATTTGGTTCAATTTCGGATGCCATATGGCTTTGATAACATGGGATTTGGTTACTTCAATACTTGTGACCGTTTCAAATGTTTTTGTATTGTAGAATAACAACTGTCCAACGTCTTGGTTCCTTTGAAGTGATTCACCTGTAAAAACCATTGTATCATCTGGACTGAAATTACAATCAGTTTGTTCATATCTAGAGAATAGATTACTAAATATGTTTAAAGGTTTTTTAAATGCTCTTAAATCCCACAGTTTAAGAGTGTCATCATTTCCTCTGCTGGCAAGATATGATCCTAAGTATGAAAATGCAATGCTGGATATTTCTGTCTGTTTTTGATGAGCATCTCTTAAAACACAAGATGTGTTGACAAAGTTCTTTCTATGATCCCACATTTGTATTGAGCCATCAAAGCAGCCACAAGCAACAGTGTTTCCATCTCTTGAAAATGCACAAGCAGTAGGATTGGTTTTTAAGCCACCCTGTTGCCTAGGTTTTATAACAGATTTGTGTTGTTTAGGATTTTCAGTTAACCACAGGCGTAAAGTGCCATCCTGAGAACAAGTCATGAATTCTTCACGAATATGTGGATGCCAACACCCACTGTTTAGGGCAGCTGTGTGTCCTTTGGTTCTGTGAAAATATATCACTACATATTTATTTATTCAGATTATATAACATATCAAGAAATATTCTACAAAATTACACTAACTTTGCCATATCTGTAATATACTGATCTCCTTTAACACATTCCAGTACTTCAAATCCATCTCGATCTAAAACTTTAGCTTGTGCAGAGCCACTGACTACCAGTATGGAATCCCCAGTAGCAGAGTATTGTAGGGCCCGAATTGGATGGTTCTCACAAGGTTGTAGGGTGCGGAATGAACGCATAGAGGAATCCATGCCTGTAAATTACGTCAAAAAAGTCCTTAATTTTGGACACAAATAAAATATTGTATTATTGTAGATTATTTTTCTTTTCTTTTATAGTGTTAAAGTTTTCATGTATTTAACTCTTTATAGGATGATATTCAGAAGGCCTATTAAATACTACTGCCTGCTATTTTGTCTGCATAGTAATGTAGAGATATATGGTATTATTTCAGGTACTAAAAGATTTGAACTTTATACAAACTTGCAAGAGCTTTTAGTTAAACTTTATTAGACAATTATTTCTAAGCTAATGTCTGCTACTCATAAACTATAAGTTTGTGAGAGCCATTAGACCACAAATTCATTGGGTGTCTACTACCTATAACCTACATCTCTGCTAAATTTATCTTTGTTTTTACAAGTGTTTTTTGATCAACATTACCAGCAAAATCCCAAAATGAAACATCATAATCAATGGATCCAGTAGCCAGTCTTGCTCCAGATGGGTCCACAGCTAATGCTACTACTGCTTTAGAACCATGATGCATTTCTACCTGTAACATAACGTAAGTATTAAGAGTATTTCACTCCAATAGTATTATAACATTGATTGAAGGTGGACAAAGGAGTTTAAATATCACTAACAGTTAAACATTGTTTCAGGCATTAACACTTGCAGCATTGTTCAATTATAAAATCTATATAATGATAATGGACATTATCTACCTCATGTGTGTTTGGTATTTGTTTCTCTAAAGGTAATTCTTCATCATCAGAATCACTGAGCTCATCATAGCTGTCTTCTCCATCTTGCTTAGTTATTATTGTGTTTTCTTTATCTTTATCTATAAGATTTGAAGGAATAGGAGGACCTATATCATCATGTCCTAAATTTGGTGGCAAAGGACCTATAACATCCCCATCATCATCTTCTTTTGATTTAGATTCCATTGATTTTTTCGCAGCTTCTTGTGCAGTTTTCTTTGCGCGCTCCATCATTTCTTCAATATCATAGTTTTTAGCTTTTTTTCCAAAATTTTTTATACCCATAACTTGATGAACATGCTGGTTTTCCAAGTCATCAGATAGTTCTTCGATCTCCTTCTGTTCTTGAATGGGTCGTCCAAATGTGCCAAAACCCGATGAAGCTCCATTATCACTAGTTTCTTTTTGAAAATTGAGAGTTATTTTACCAAATGATATGGGTTTTTTACTCATTGTCACAATTCAATTTATGAAACAAAATATTAATGCTAAACATTAAGTTGTAAATACACTTATCACTATGCTATATTCAATGAATAATATTTCTTAAATTACATTTAAGGTTTAAAAAAAAATCATTGATTTAAAATTGCAACAGTAATGTAAAAAGAATTTTTAGTAACAAAATAATACCTAAATGTCTATATTGTTATTCTACTTTATAGTATTTTGTAAATTGTTTTTATGCGCTACATGGATATATCATATTGACGATATGTGGATATGTCATCAGCGATGGCAACTGCATCAGAATGTTCCCCCTAGGACCAACTTCAAATACCCCTTAGTTAATAGTTTTAGTTGTTTAATACACTCGGAGTGGTAATTTCAAAATGCATCAAAAATATATATTATTTAAGTTGTATAAAATTTTGATCTTGAAGTATTAGATATAAATATATCAATACGTATTCATAGTTCAGTTATAGGCACGCTTGGGAGTTTATTTTTGGTTTTGTTCTAGGATTAATATCAATTTATGATAGATTAATTCTACTGTATAGAATCGTGCGTTTTTAAGAAAAAAATATTAATTTCTTGTATAAGTACAACCTAAGAATCCCCCTTTATAAATGAATTGTACCTCGTAAATACCCCAGGGGGCTTAGACAAGAAGAAATTTGTCAACACAAACTGTCATTTTCATCATCATGCCTCTAGGACATCTTGATTCCCCCTAAATTTTGGGGTAAACCCCCAAGATTGCATCACTATGTCATAATTCATATTGATTTTCTTTGGAGTTTATGGCCTGGTATCTAGACCTTTAGGCCATTCATATTGATATCTTTAGTCACAGCCACAGACTTGAACTATATTTTGAGAAAATATAAGAAAGACAAAGGTTAAGTACATCCTGAACTATTGGGCAAAATTCGTTAATTTCAGAATAATAAAGTTTTTTATGTTCACAACTCAAAGATTTCTAAGATTTTCGGCAAATTTTATGCACATTTACACTTTTGTTCAGCTTATATATACGCTTTTGTAGCGTATGATTAGCATATTTTACATACAGTGGCGAATAAATTTACACGAGTATGAATAAAATGTTTGCTATGTATATGCACATAATATATGCGAGCGAGCGAGCCAAAATAGTAAGGTGTCCACTCCTAATTTTTACATGGTTTCTATGCTTATTCTTATTGTAAAGGGAAGCCATAAAATAAAAAAAGGGATTTTTTTAAAGATAAATTTATATTTGATTAAAGTTCGGTGGCGGTTATTGTAGGGATGTTCAAATATATGTTAAACGAATATCTAAGGTGTTAACTTTCTTTAATCGTTTAAACATGGGCTTATAACGCGACGCTAGACTAAAGCTGGGTATCGATTACGCGCTCCTGGCGCGCGCGCCATGAATGATCGCACCGAGAGTGCGTTCCGTGAAACGCGTTCCAAATATTTGAAGTATAATATCAACTAAGCGCGCCTGGCGCGCGTGGCAACTGTTCCAGTGTTCGACCCTTCATCATGGAAGCCAGTCGTAAAAATATTTCAAAACCAAAATCAGCTAAATCTTTAAAACCGTCATTTTGAGTTAATTAAAAGTTGTAATTTTAAAAAATCTGTATACCTAATAATTACCAGAGCCAGTGATTTGGCTTTTAGATATTCTCCATTTTTCTCTTCTGTACGATGATAGGAGCACAGTCATTTTTTTCTTTAATTCCGGCATAGGGACTCCCATTTCACTACTGATTTCTCTCCAAGGATCTTCTCTAAGCGATTTATTATGATACGAAGAAATTTTGCTATTCCACAGTAGTTCTTTTGGACCATACAGTTGTATTAATTTACGGCAACTTTGGATATCCATAATTGGGAGCGTAACAAACACAAAAAATACGATATGTCCGTCCCAACTGGCGCGCGCGCCACGATTGATGCGTATTGCGTGGTAAAAAACCGACACCCGTCGGAACGGACCGCTCCGCGTTCGGGCGCTCCAACGAACACAATGGCGCGCGTTCCAAAGTGGTATCCATTTCGCGCGGCTGGAGCGCGCGCCAATGTTCGACCTCATGGAGCGCGTAATCGATACCCAGCTTAAAAAAAACTAATTTGACTTCTTGAAGTATTCTTAAATCTAAGTGCCACTTATGATACTTATAAAAATATATGTATTCGACCTACTAGACATTATCGGAATCGAAAATGTTATATTACAATACCCCATGTATGTGTGGGAAAAACTAAAAGGCTCATTTTGGCTTCAAGTGTGCGTTGATTTGATGAACATTTGGTTGGCACTTTTAATTATTAACCAATATATGTATATGTAACTAAATTAATGTTAGGTTTCATAACTTATGGTCTGCAAAAAAATATACAATCAAAATCATATTTTACTTGATTTAACTGTGGGTGCTTTATACTCTGTATCGACTATTCTAGTAATCTATGCTGGTCTGTGGTCATTTAAATTTTGTTAACTATAAAATTGTGATTGCGATTATCGGCAACGGGCAATCGCCAATCGGCATATTTCGAAAAGACTCAAAGTTATTCGGTTGCGTTTTTCCTTTTTAAAATGATTTCTTGCTTAATTTTATGTTTATTTGTCGGATTTTCTTTTGGGTTTACTGATAAAGGTAAGCATATTAATACCTTATTTGTTATTTAGTTAACTGATTCTAATTTTGTGTAACTTACGATTCAACGACGGTAATTATAGTCAAACGTAATTTTTATATTAAGTTTTATTTAAATATAAATTTAACTTTTAACTCGTAAGGTTACAAAAGCTTATGTATACATTGTTATAGCCTATATTCGTTTATAGAATTCTCTTAATACATTTTACATTGTATATGTACCTACTGCGCTTATAAATTATCAGATTGATTCGTCGTGCTTTATATTCTATACAAACAAATGGTAGTAAATGAAGTTCCTGTTTATAATCTAAGTAGATACAAAAATTAAACTTAATATATTATTTTCTAAAAATTAATTATGTTGTGTATAAAATATGGTATCTGTTTATAGTTCAATAATATAATAATTTTAGGATCACCACCGCAATGGAGTGATGTATATGCTGTAAAAGGACTCTTAAACATCCCTTATGCAGAACTACATGAGCCATTCTATGCCTGGTAAATTAACACAGTTTATAAATTTTTATGTCTTAATTAAAATATAGGTATTATAAGAATTTGTAAGTATATGATACACATATACTATTCTGAAAATTGCTAATGATGCAGATGCATAATTTTGTGTCATTGAATATTCTAAGCTTTTATAAATAAAAGGGCTTCCGTGATTAATAATTATTATCTGAAAAAATACATAGGGTTCAATTATAATTCTGCTAAAATATGTGGGCATCTAGTAATTAGGATATAAAACAAATTTTATTAAATTTAGTATTTTATTTGCTTTCTTTCACTTAAAACAGTCAAGTTCTGTTATAAACATATAAAGTATGCTTTATTGCATTCTCTAATGAGGTTACAGTAAGCGAGATTTCTTTTAGAATAATCAATATAAAGCATTAATTTATTAAGCTGAATAAACTTGTGCAACCTACTTATGACGTATTATTTAATTCATTAGCAGTTTATTGAAATTTCACCATTTACATATGTGGTTAAATAGTTTAAGATATTACTCACTTTACATGTATTTAATTTTATCACATTAGTACATTATTATTATTGATCTAGTATTTGAACACAAGGTTAATAACCCAATAAGTATCAATTATTATGAACATAATGCCTATTAATGTGTATATACCTGACGCACATGTTTGGGTAGTTTGGTGAGTTTCTTTATGACTTTTTGTCTTTACCATACACATAGAATGAAGTTAAGTACGTTGTTTTAAAAGTTTCATCTATATTTCTTTTTTTTTAAAGTTAAAAGTAGAGGTACAATAAAATGGGTACAGAAATTCAGTCAGAAGAGCTGTAATTTTATTAATCAAAATAATTATAATTGTCGGAATAAATATCCAGAGGTCAAATCGTTCATGATAAGACGTTATTTACATTACAAACAGATATAATTGCGGTCAATATTTGCTTTGCATGTGTATTGTAATTAATTATTTCGGTCTTTGAACTGTATTTGTGTCAATATGTTGTATTTGTGGCAAAATTTAGGTTTAATCAATGTTGTTACTTAGGTGACATGGATATTCCAGATTATTCCATCTACACCTTGATTACATTATTTCGACGTATCCCTCTGGATATAATGTGGAAATTAATTTTTACTTGAAAAAATTACGTAGTTTTAACGAAAAAGACACAAAAAACTACAATAACTTCAAATTCGATAATCGCGATAATTTCGACATTTCATTTTGTTTGTTCAGATATTCGTGTCGATTTTGCTTAATATTCTCACAAGGTGAGAATACCACAAATTCCCACTCTGAATATTTATATTTAAATGGTTTTGTTTATAATTTAAATCATGTTCTAATTCTAATTGCCGTATATTTATTTACGAGTAGTAAATATTTTCGTAATTTGCTACATACACCAAGGATGCTGTTAAAGACGAAACTACGATAATTAGCCCAGTTTTAGTTTAACATTCTACTAAAAGTCATTAATAGCGCTTTAATTATGAAAGGGTAACATGTAATGATGGTTAGTTGTAAGATTGTAAAATATGTATTATAAGGTTCTATTATAAAAGTATCGGAAATACGCTATTCTTATATATAAAATTAAGTCTCTCTACCACGACTGTTGTATGTGCACGATGTTCTCAAAAACTGAACGGATTTTTGTACAGTTTTTAACAACTTCGTTAAATTTGATTTTGACATACGAGAGTTGTTGTTCGCGTTAAGTCTGTGTTCTAAACTTTTGTATGATTCCTGAAAAAGGTTGTGTATAAATCATTTTCTTTTTTACACGCTTTATATTAGCTTCACCTGTATGTATGTATGTATGTAACCGACTCCTTCGGACTCGATTTTGACCCACTTTAAACGGACAGATTTAATTCAAACTTTGTACACTTATAAAGAATCAGCGACAATATAATAATTTCATAGGTTTATCTCGAAAAAACAATGAAATTTTTTTTAAGTCAACAAAGCAATACGATTAAATTGAGACAACCCGTATTGCTGCTAGGACTAAAAAGGGGAAAATAAATATAGTTTAAAAAAACTAAAAAACACGCTTTTAAAGCACATCAAACTAAAAAGTGAAAAATAATTCCTAATTTAGGCTGAAAATGGTAATGAACAAAAAATACTGGTATTATTGTGAAAAAGCGTGGGGCGCTCTGTGCCATATTTTTCGTCTATCGAGCAAGCATATTTTTTAGTTTTTTTAAACTATATTTATTGTTAATTAAAATGTGATTATTGTTTTGTAAGAAATCTTGTCAAAATATACGAAATTCACGCGGGCGAAGCTGCGGAAATATAAATATACAATATTGCAGACCTTGAACTAATGCCTAAAACATCCTGTTAAAGTCAATGACCACGAAGTTATAGTCATTAATTATTATAATGAATAAGATTTTTGAAGGGCGAGAAGCAATTAATCTTTGAAATTTTGATTCTTCAATTATTTTCTGTACGTAATTTGCCTTTCTTTTTAAAGGAGTGAAAATAATTTGATTTTAATAAAACCGTTATTTGTAATCGACCAGCAATTTTTTAATGTTATATACATGAATATAATATATATAGAAGATATATAGATATATAATATATATAGAAATAACACTTTTATCCAAAAAAGTCCTTTCTGCTTCATGAGAGATCCTGTGAAAATCTTAAGAAATAAGACGAATAATAAATACATAGAGTTATCGTGGATTCGATTTGTTCTATTTGATAAACATAATGTTCGATTTAGAAGTTTAAGATTAGTCGCAGTTACGAGTTCCGACCGTGCCATTCCTTATCTCTAAGTATAAATATACATATTTATCTTTTCGTCAGCTACGAAATTTAATGCCTGATTAGTTAACGACTCATTTAGGGAGCATATATAAAAGCACGTAATTCTGATCTATGACTTCTTGAAGATCAGGCATACTATCAATTTGATGTCTTTAAGCATTAAATTTTATGTATCATTGTTAGCTTCTAATATTTAGAGTTAATATAAATAAATGGTATAGAAATTAAAATTTTATTTCTTTGCATTATTGCCATTCAAAGCAAACAATCAAATCTTTGGGATTTTGGTTTTGGATGCAACTACTGGAACGAGTTGTAAAATTCTTTTATCATTAGAATCCTACATTATTTCCTATGCATATAGGCTATCAGTACACGAACTGTGAACATAGTACATATTGTACTAATATATTTACATATTTAGTAAAGTAAACATGCAGCCTTAATAGATATATATATGTTTTTCGTGTTTTATAAATTAGTGTAAGCAAGCAAAAGACACTTTCTACTACTACATGATACCTAATTTAACGTGTGTCGATACGTATAAATGTGTGGTGCGTAAAAATTTACGGATGATTGCTTTCGTTTGCAGGTACGATAGAAAAAATGCTAAATCCCGTATTGATTACTATGGCGCAATGGTTAAGACATACCAGTTCGAGGCCAGTGTGTTCCCGAGTTTCGGTACATCTATAAAGGTAATACTTTTAAGGAAAACGTGTAGAACCTATTTATTTCGTAATCGTACTGCTGACATAAGTTACATATCTCAAAAAACAATTATACTGAAGATATAGCCAAAAATAGAATATACATATATACAAAAAAGTTCAAATATAACGTAAGTAAAAAATCAATAAAAGTGAATAAATATATTTAATTAAGGAATATCGGTTGTGTTGTGTGATGGTTTGAAAGTGAGGGTATGTACGTGAGAACACCCATACACACCGTATGGGTGTTCTCAAGATGCAGGTTAGTGCTATGGAAATTCTTAATACTCCTTTTAAGCATATTCCGCGATAGCTTAAACAAGTCTTGGCTTAAATAGTCGTTGTATGTCCTTGTATCATAAAGAAATCTCTTAATCAAATGGGACATAGAGCATTATTCATTGCCTCATCTGTACCTATGGACGCGATATATATATAAATTGATATAAATATACAAAAAAAAAACCCATTCGGGGCCAAGACTTAGAGTTAACAAGTGTTGTGAGTTTTCTTTTAATTATAGGAATATCAAGTAGAAGTGAGATAATTCGATTTTCAGATAGCACCGATCACAACGGAGCATGTCCTGAATCAAGAAACATGTCTCCAAGTGAATGGCACAGAGGACAGCAGTATCAGCATTCAGTCTGTGTTACCTGATATGTCCGACTTCAAGTATGTAGGTGAGTTATATGTCGTCTCTATCTAGCATAGTATATCCATAGTTGCTCCCCTCACACTTTGAAATTATTATTTGAGTATTGTTCTTTCTCGTCGTGTTTATTATGTTGCCTATTGCTTGTCTACTAATGTATAAGGTTGCCGAGCGTGGGCAAGGTTTTATAAATAATATAATAAATATATATAATTTAGTTTTAATGATTTTTAATCAGTTAATGTTTCGTTCTATACTGGTTATTATGAGATAAAGGATTGACTTATCAGATAATCCTTCAGAACTGTTTAAGGGTACTTTTTGTCAAACTTCGTCAAGAACGTGCACATACATTTAGCTTAAAACTACAAAATCTTTGTGATGATTAACGACAATAGTATTTAGGATTAATATGATGACGCATTGATACTGACTCAAATGTTGAAGACGCCAAACACGTATTTTTTTAAGCTTGTTTATTCCAACCTTATAAAAAAATCACAACACTACAATTTTTTTAGTATATAATTAGAATTTTGAATGTTCCTTTAAAAAGTTTTTAAAGCTTATGTCAGCTTTTTTTCGAAATTTCTTTGATTCTTATAAAAATAAGATACTTACAGCGTGTTTTTTGTCACATAGTCGTTCGCTCGGGCCGCATTTCCACAACTACATCTATAATATACAAACAGGTGCCGTCCCAAAACTTAGTTTAATTTAAAATTGTTATAGCTAGCTGACTTGCTACAAGTGTAAAACGTGTTTGTACCACAAACATTTTTGTGTGTAAAGGGTGTGGTGTAAAGACAACAAACTTCCAACGCTATTTTTCGTACACATTAATTTCAGGTTCAGAGACAATGCAGGATTCGGACACGTCTAAATGGCGTATGGTGATGACGGTGGGTGATAAAGTCAATAAGTATACGATGTGGGTGAAATACAGGAAGAGCTTACGGGGTGATCCGATACCGATACCAGTGAGGTATAGTAATTTTAGTATCTTAATTAATGAAAAATATTTATTAGATAAAAAAATTATATCTTAATATATATAAATTACGTGTCACGTTGTTTGTCCGCTATGGACTCCTGAACTACCGAACCGATATCAATCAAATTTGCACACCGTGTGAGTTTGATCCAACTTAAAAGATAGGATATCTTACATCTCAATTTATACCCGCAATATTATTTTATTGCAAAATATTTGTTAATTATTTGATAGTCACAATTCTAACAGAGGGTGCTGTGTTGAAAGTACCAACGTTTCACATAAGCTACAATTTAATGGCAAAACCACCAAAAAAGCATGGTGGTCCCCATGACTGGTGTTCTCCTACCGTTTCCCTTGAATCGGTTACTACTATGTAGTGTAATAAAAACCTTAGCCACAGCAACGCTTGGCCGGTCTGCTAGTAGTTTGATAAAAAATCTATGTTTCTATATAAATACGGACGTAGTAATAGAAATTTAAAATGACGTTACTTTGGTTTATGCAAGTACGGGATAAAGACTCGAAGCATTGAAAATATTGCATATACATATATCCAAATTTCATATGTATTCTAGGTATGAAATGAAAGGTTACAATACGCTCCTTGGTTCACACTACGACCACTATTACATCGACTATGCCGAATACTCTGTTGATGAAATAGACCAAAATGTTTTCGAGGTCGACCCAAGTAAGTATAAGTCATTGTATATATAATGTATTTACTGTATACTAAATATATTAAATAAATAGATTTTCAAGGGTCGAGTAGACTAATTGACAGCTTTCATATTTGCCTGTATTTATTTGAATAAAATCTCCTCTTTGTGTCCGCCTCAATATGTAGGGTTATCGATTCGAAATTCTAGGATGTACATCTACCGATATGAGACACCCAGGGCCGTGTTAAGAATGTGAAATGAAAATGAATCGACACAATTTTTTGTTCAAAACGTGCGTGACAAGTGACATGATACGTCATATAACGTCCGTTTGACGTACGCAATGTTCGTCTTTTGTGTTCGTCCCGCTTGACAAGTAATTTCTAGATGCAACTATCAATTGAAGGTGTTTAAGGGCGTTCTCGTTTGCTTACCTGATCCACCTATAAAAATAGCTAAGAGCCCATTTATTCATAAAAATAAAATATTTCCAATACGTTTTAAATAAATTCCCTGCCTCTTTTCATCACGGGGTAATCACTATTTGACAGAAAGGGACAAACGAGTATTATTGTAAAAAAATCAATTAGGCTATTTAGGATTTATAAAAAATAGGGTAATATTTGAATAATACTTTTTCTCCAGTCTGATACATAGTTGTATGATATTTAAAGAATTCATTCATTGAACACGTAGTTACTCAATAAGTTAATTATATTAAAAAATATTTTTTTGCAGAAATGAAATGTACTTCGTTCCCCGGTCCCGGATCCCGACACTACGCGACGTTTAATCCTATGAAGGAGTTTGTTCATCCCGTTCACAACGCGCATGTTGATGATGAGTTTGACAGGTTAAAATCATTCTTTCATACGTTCAGTCACTCGTTCATATGAATCCCTACTGTTATCTAAGAAACATAGTTTATTAATTAATTCATTGATTACGGCAAAAAAAATCATGTGTATTTTGTGTAAAACTATAATTTTTCACAGTAAAATTCATTATATTTTTTTTTAATATTTTATTTTACATGGGATTGCGCTCGAACTACTGTTCTATATAGAAATATAAGTAGTTAAAAAAAAATAGTTCGCTTTGGAACATAAAACTATTTCATTCACAATACTATTTGTTTCAGATTTTTGATGAAGCACAACAAACAATACTCCTCACACATAGAAGAGGCTAAACGACTTAACATTTTCCGTCAAAATCTCAGGTATTTTAAAGAAAGGGCATGGGATAAAGGTTGAATATATTGAAAAATATAATTCCTGTGATTATTTTTTTGTAACAGTTAAGGTTATATATTTACACATCATTATTTTATCTTTACAGTTATAACTAATGCGATAGTAAACAGTAATCTACACCTGAATCATTCTCCATAAAAAACAAACAATAAATGATGTACTTACAATTATATCTAATATTAAAACTAGTCGTGTGAATTCGTACAGATAACAAATTAATAGGTATTTCTCTATATATCTCTGGACCCAGTTCTGTTTTATTGGGTACTTAAGATTAATTGCTTACCTAATAATATAAGTAATCAATACAATACTTGGCGATTAAAAAGAGTGGCGGAAAGTTTCTTGCCAGTTCTTCTTACCCGCTCTACGCCCTTGACTTGCGAACTGGTAGTAAATGTAAATTTACGATTAATTTAACTTGACGATTCAAAAGTGTACTTGGTTACCCACTTGAATAAAGATATTTTGAGTTTGAGTTTGAATCTTTCCTATAACACGGTAGATTAGTTCCGTGTTATAGGAAACGCGTTGTATAAGTTACGTATAAATGATGCACGTTTTATTTTTCTCGTTAAAGGGAATTTAAATCGAATAAAATTATTATTACAATTCAATAAGTAGGAACACAAATTTAATAATAATAGTTGACAAATCATTATAAATTATAAATTTCACAGTACAAAATATAATGTGTGAAATACCCGTCTTGTACGAGGGACTGAAATCGCGTAATATGAAAATGTGTTATAAGAGTACCGTGTTATAAGGGGCATTACATAGACTACTGATTTAACAAGCTGTATTTCATTATTTTAGATACATTCACTCTAATAATCGAGCGCGTCGCGGTTTTACAATGTCCGTGAATCACCTCGCCGATCGAACTGACGATGAACTGGCTGCTCTACGTGGAAGAAAATATAGCGGACCAAACACAGGTAGGTTGTTTAGATCTTAAAATAATTTTAAAAAAGAAACATTAACACTGAGTTTCTATGCAAAAAAAAATTAAAATTGATAGATTGTTTGGGATTTTGGTAGTGTTTAATAACATCAACACTTTTGTTGAACAATATGACAAGCTATAGATTATTGTACTGTTATGTTCTTTACTCCCGTTCGTGCTTAAAATATTAGGCCTGTACGGTTCCTTGGTCATCGGGGTGCTTTAAATAATAGAAGATTTTTGTTTTACTCCACCACCACCACTCTCGGACAATAATAGAATATAAGCGAAATAATGAAACGTTAATTGCTATGTAACGAATGAAGGCAATGTAACAGTCGAAGAGAGTGCCTACGTCTGGCTATACTCCGAGGGTTTAGGAAATCGTCACAAGGCCGATTCACTAATATTTTCATTGATAATTAATTGCTCCGATGTAAATTTGTGTAAGGGTTTTTTTATATATGATTTATATTGATCTATTATGAAATTTTAGAAGAATGATTGCTTACATAGAAGATTAAGTTGCGTTAACTAACACTTAATAATAATTATAAATTACAGGTCTCCCCTTTCCCTACAGTAAATCTGTCATTGAAGAAATGAGTGTGAAACTCCCCCCAGAGTTCGACTGGAGACTCTTTGGGGCTGTCACTCCTGTCAAAGGTATATAACAAAGTCCATTTAGTATATAACATGTCTATACTTATAAGTTTTACCCGGCTCGAAGGACCAAAATCGTTTTTTGACCCAGTTTATCATTAATTTATACATCAAGTGTTTACTAATGTTATAATACTTCAAAACAATATCAACAATTATAACAATTGCTTTAATCATTCAATAAGATCTATAAAAAAACATATTTTTTTAAATTGTATTAAATTGAGTTTCTAATGAAATTTACAGATCAATCAGTATGTGGTTCCTGCTGGTCCTTCGGAACGGTGGGCGCAGTTGAAGGCGCCTTGTTCCTTAGTAACGGAGGTCATTTAGTCCGCCTAAGTCAACAGGCCCTCGTGGATTGTTCTTGGGGGTAAGATTTATTAATAATTATAAACTCAACATTAAAAAATGGATCGTTTGTAGATCTAATGTATTTTAGTATATTTCTTACAGAAAGATGATTAGGTTGTCCCATTACATTTTTTATTTTCATTACTTTGACATTGTTTTAATTTGTCCAAAGCTATAAAAAATCAGGCTTAATTACTTAAAACCGTTTTTCTTATTAATTTTATATTATTATAATGAACATCATTAAGCATGATGTAATGCAGGTCCATACTAACATTTTATATAAAAACTGGTGCTTCAAAAGATTTTTTCCGTTTTCTGCCCTTGACTTGCGAACTGGTAGTAAATATAAATTTAGAATCAATTTAACATCTTTTCTGTTGACGTTCATAAGTGTTCTTGTTTACCTATATGAATAAAGTTATTTTGAGTACTTTGAGTATTTTGAGAACTTATTTAACGGACAAGAAGAACTGGCAAGAAACTTTCCGCCACTCTTTTTAATCGATAAGTTTTGAGTCATACAAATTTTTTGAACTGGAGCAAATCAATCCCAAGGATATTAAAAGCTTTATTGATTAATTTACGTTTAAAGCTTTGAATTTTATTCAGTGATATTATCTAAATGAGTATTTGCGTATATTAAAGATTATTTAAATATATTTTGATATTTTTTTAAATTTTAGTTTCGGCAACAATGGCTGTGATGGCGGCGAAGACTTCCGCGCCTACCAGTGGATCATGAAGCATGGCCTTCCCACCGAAGAGGACTATGGAGGCTATTTGGGACAGGCATGTTTTTTATATGATCCAGACTCCTAAGTTCATACAATCTATACTTTTGACTTTATAAATAATTATTCACTGTTTACAGGATGGCTACTGTCACATTGACAACGTCACTCTGGTCACTTCAATGAAAGGCTGGGTTAACGTTACTGTTAAGGACGAGAAGGCTCTCATGGTATGTAATTTAATTCAGGAATTATATAAATGATTAAACACATCAAATGAATACAAATTATATAAGATTAGGAAACAAAAAATTAAAAAAGAAATAATTACAATAATGCCTCTGTAATTTCGTTGTTTAGAGTTCTAAAGACATCCTATTTTGATAGTATGTACTTCTTGTATGTTAAAAAAGTATAATTGCTTTGACGGTCTTAATAACTCCAATTCTATAATTTTAGTTGGCCTTATTCAAACACGGCCCGATCTCAGTTGCAATCGATGCCAGCCAGAAAAGCTTCAGCTTTTACTCCAATGGGGTCTACTATGAACCAAAATGGTAAGAATTGTATTTAAATTTGTGGGTACCCACACAGTCAATATTTTTTTACAAGCCCATAAATTATTAGATTAAAAATGCCATCAACAATTATTTACATCTAGTGATTTAAAATTAATAAAAAATTTAATAAATTAAATTAAAATAATAATACGTAAGACAAGGAAGATTGTAGAACTGGCCTGAAGGAGAATATTCTTTTAATTGACCCAATCAGTTGCTTATTTTATAAATGTACTAAACAATAATTTACTGTACAGAATATCACTAAAGTAGAAGTAACATCATTAAAACTAATTATTATTACCCCTGATATTATCCTTGAGGTATTAGGTTCTTGACTTTCTTTATGTGCGTATTTAACAACTCGCTCGTACGGTGAAGGAAAATATCGCGAGGAAACCGGCGTGAGTCAGTCACAGAAGGCTGATCACCAACTTGCCTAGAAAAACAAATGATCAGAAAACATATACAGAAATATGAGGCCCAGACCTAAAAGGTTGTAGCGTCACTGGTTTTTTATATTATAAACATTTTGACAGTTAAAGAGAATATGACTGAGACTAGTAGCTAATAATATAAATAGTTTTTTTTTTAAATATTTTAACTTGACTACCCTCTTATTTACATTTTAAAACGAATATTTTTTTCAGCAAAAACAAAGTGGAGGAACTAGATCATGCCGTCCTTGCTGTGGGGTATGGGGTGCTAAACGGCCAAAAATACTGGCTGGTTAAGAATTCTTGGTCCAATATGTGGGGCAATGATGGTTACGTACTCATGTCTATGAAGGACGATAATTGTGGGGTCCAGGCGGCTCCCACTTATGTTCTTATGTAATGGGAACATGTAGTTTGGTCTGTGAGACGAAGGGCTATGATTAAATTTATGGGTTAATGTTTTTAGCTGCTTTTAAGTCACTATCGTATATTTAGTATGATATTATTTTTAAATGGTTTAATAGTCGATATTTTAATAAGACATTTTTTCGCCCCAATTCAATTTATTAAAACAAAAACAGGTATAATATATACAATAAAAACATTGACGCGCGTAGTAGTAATAAAAAATAGGTGTATGCTTTTGAATTAGTCTCACAGACCGAAACTTCTAAAATTTAGTACAACATTAATTAGTACTCATTTGAATCTCAACTCATGTCACTAAGAGATTAATACCCATACACGGAATAGATAAACAATAAGTAAAGCGGGCCATAGACGGATTGCGGTTTGCTCAGGAACTGCTCGAGCGGTCCGTGTATTGCGAATATGAATTTAGTATGGAAACTGCAGATCGCCGTGCGGCGACCGCTTAGGGCAGTCGGTATCGGCTGCAACATGCGGTCCGTCTATGGCCCGCTTAAGGGGTACCGCAAGCGGGCTGCAAGTACACAGCGTGAAATATATAACGGCTATTTCTAGTACAAAATCGACTAAACGCCTTTCAAACCTATTTATTTATTCCGTGTTCGTAAACGTACTATAAACAACGAAAATATGTAATGATGTCTCATGACAGTAGCAAATAATATACTTTATCTATGAGTGTTATAATATAGTACTAACCGTAAGTTTTTCTAATTATTAAATTGTTATAGAATTATTATATTAATAAATCAGATATGAATATTAATTATATAATTATTTCTAAATTCCTTTTTGTCACCAGCTGCCCAGAGACCTTCTTCAAGTTAGGAGCCAATTCCTAATAGGTAACGCACTTGCGACGCTTATCGCAGAGTGTGTGTGTGTGTCCATGGCGGTATCCCTTAACATGAGATGAGCCTTCGTTTGACCTGTACTATTAAAAAAATCCCGTCTGCTATCCATATTCTTTTATTTTTGATGTTAACTACTTGACGTACTTTGTCATATTTTTTAGTCTAGTTTCGTATACGACTCTAGAGTTATTGGTAATTTATGACTTAATTTTTTTAGTACGCTTTTAATTTTGCATATTTCTTATTAAAATAATAATACTATAATTCTGTCTACATTCCTTTGTATAGGACAGATGATTTAGTAGCAGTCCTTAGTAGCATAAATTCTAAGTTAAAAACATCTGGAATCTGACACGGTTTGTGTCTGTAATCTTAAGCTTAGGTTTCCTAGAAAAGCGGTGCCGTTAACTAATGGTCGTCATTTTACGGTTGTTAATAACGGCCGTCTTTACTTATTAACATAATGCAAAAAACATCATTTTCGCTCGTCCAAGTCACGTTTCCACTCATTGTATTAATTAAATATGGGCACCGCTACACGCGAAAAACGTTGAACTAATGTTTATCACCGCTATGACGGCCGTCATGCAAATGACAGCACCGCTATTTGACGTTACGGTGACACTCAACGTTCTCTAGGAAACCTACTCCGATGTTATTTATAGACAACGTATGGGTGACGTCACCCAACGCTACATTACGGCCGTTAAATAACGGCGCTGCTTTTCTAGGAAACCTAAGCTTTACCATGCTTTGGACGGCTGCTATATTATAGGTCTGGTTAGAAATAAATGTTAGTATGTATAAGAGAAATAAACAAATTTTATATTATTTGAGTTTTATTTAGTATTTTTTTAATGAGGTGGTATCCACATACACATATTTCCAATTCTAACTTGTGATCCAGGACACGCATCTTGATGTAAGGTTTTCTTATACTGAAAAAAAAAAGATTCAGTGATTTTATAATTGTTTGGAACGGTAAATTAGATTTAAATACAGTATAAAGTAACAAAATACAGTAAAGTATAATTTCAACCTGTGTTTATACCCTTGCTTGGCTTTTTACTAAACCTTAATCATATATGTTTCACTTTACTAGGCAACGCAGATCAGGCAATTAGTGCCTAAAAAAACAAATCAATCAAATACTAACCGTCCAATAATTCCAAGGTGGATAATGGGGCATCCAATTATTCCCTTTACCATCGTGTAAATCCATTGGAATTTTCGGTCCTGGGGCCAAAGGATCATTAGCTTCGCCGGACTTCTCATACGCGCGTAAAGTATTACTCAGCGCAGACATTATTTCATTATAGGCTAATCCGCGCCTTTTCTTTATATTCGATTTTTTTTTTCTATTATTTCTTTTAGTTACAAAGACTAAATAATCATATGCTTTTGTATTCAATTTTTTATCTATGTATGCGCGTTCGTTCCATACGTCATTAGTATCTCTGGTCTCGGCTTTATCATTACTTACATCGTATTTATCTTCGAATTGTTGAAGTGCATTATCAAATTTTTTACCAATATTAATCTTCTTGTGGAGTCTTATGAGAGGTTTATAAATTGTATTAAATTTATCATCATATTCATAGGTTCCCGCATCTAGGCCGTGGGGTATTTTTCGCTTCACCAATATCTTATTTCTAAAGTTCCCTTTACTTACATGTTTGTTCGGATTTGGTGTTAATTTAATGTGTTCGGATAAATCATGGTTTATAGTTTCCAATATTTTAGGGAATTGTTTTAAATCTTCTATATTGTCGATTTTAAAGTATGTTAAACATGCAACGAATTTAATTGAAATAAGCAATGCACTGACTTCTAGAAGTTTTAACATTTTGAAACCTATAAACTATTTTCCATCAATATGTTTAATTGAGCGATGAAAATGTATTTTCTGTTAAATAAATGGTTTGACTTTTCTTTTCGATAGTAATAACCAAAAGATTTATTTGTCGAGTGTTCAGGGTTTTCATTAAGTTTTAGTAATAGTTATTATGTAAAATATTCGTATAATATAAACACAAAAATACTAAATGTCTTGCCACACCAACAAATCTGATGTGTCAATATTTGCAAGCTTTTAGCGGGAAATGTTGGATTTCTTCTGACAATAATACAATCCCAATTATATAAGATGTATTAATGATGCAAAAATAATCGAAGTATACAATTTAATATTGTTTTCGCTTTGTATATTACTTATATATACTACTCAGATCGCGTGAAAACTCTTGGTCTACGGTCCAACTAAAATAATATAGTCTTAATAAGTATTTAGGAGTTATACGCCCTTAGCTGGTTTTAATAGTCACAGGTTTCTTTCAAACAACATTGTAATGTAAAAGTCGACTAAGCTTGAATAGTTTACTGGAAGATGTTGCATTAAATAATTATATAAATAAACAATTATAAGGCCGTTTCTCCACTGCTCCGGTCCGGCAAACGTTAATTACCGATCCGATTTAGAAACTAACAACAGTACTTACGTGCTTCTCCACTACTCCGGCATCCGGTTTTTAACGATCCGATATCTTGGTAGATCGGAACGCGGTGTTTTATCGGTCCAAGTATATTCAAGAGGTTATAAATTATTATTCACAGGTTTATTTATAGTTTCTTTAATTTGAAAGAATCTGGATAACCTGGACCAAACCAAATTATGTTGCTATTTATTTATATTTTTATACCATAGTATTAGTGAACTATTTATTAAGTAGATTATAATATTTCAAGATAGACAATATAAAAAAAGTAATAAACTAGCCAGGGCAATAAAATATTCAGAATTGAGAACGTTTTATTAATAAAATTAAGTATATGGGTTTTAGTTGATATAAGTGTTGCATGATAAATACACAAGTATCGATTATTGTCGGATCGGATATAGTGGAGAAGCGCAATCCGGCCTTCCGATATTTTTCTCATGACTCATTCCGGTATCCGACGTCGGACCGGAGCAGTGGAAAAAGGGCCTTACTCTTCATTTACGATTATAGTAAAGATTAAGACACAAGCTTCTTTTCTATTTCGTAAGTTTTAAATACAGGTACAAAATAAATTCTTGCTTTTGTTAACTGCATCAATACGACCATTTATACCACAATTTAAGCAAGGATACCCTAAGATTGTACTAAGACGGCAATAAAACACTCGCTTTAGGGTTTTACAGCGCGTACGAGGTGTATTTATGTCGTCATTACAGGAATTATATTGCACTTACCCGCATGCATTAACATCAGTACTTGTACCTAATTTATTTTATGACACTATAGAGACTCGTATTTATATGACACTATAGAAATTCAGGTGTACCTCAGGTGCATCTTACGATATAGGTACGTGGTGTTATCGCTTATTTATAAATTAATTAAAAATTAAATGATTTTGTATAGTTTTTATAACTGCGGACATAATATTAAAACGCTAAGCAATTACAGTATACCAATTGTAATTGCGAACTGGCTTTCTATTTTAACTATGACGGTATGGAAATTTTACTTAATTATATGGAGTAAGTAAATTGTAAGTTTTATTACCTTACCTTAATGTAATTTGGTTCATTATTTAATTTTATATTTATTAAAATTTCGAAATTATTATTTTCGATATTGCTACACAATACATGTATTGGGAAGTCACAGGCTCCTGAAATCCAGTTTTCACTACATCTGGGATACGTGTTTGTTATGTAACCTTTTTTGGCAATAAATAACCTTATTATAATACCGGTATTCCGATGTTTTTGTATGGATTTTTTGTAGTTCTCTCAATATCCGTAACGCTGTCACAATCTTGGAATATTTCAAACACAAAGAGTGTTAAATGTCACTTCTCGTAACCTGGCTTGAGTATAAAGGAACCACCGTTATTTTTGGGACATAAACTTATGAAAGTGGGACTCACAATCGCTATTCAAAGTTACAGGGCGGTGGTCGAGAGCTCGTTGCCGTTTCAATCATGTACTGGCGTTTGTATTAAAATATTATACAATAATTATAATTATGAAAGTTAATTTGAAGCTTAATTTTAATCGAATCTGGTCTGGAAGCTCGTGAACTTCTGCGGGTGGTGAAGAACATTAAATATTTATATATTTACTAGCGGACGTTGTCCTGCATGATATTTCAAGCGATTAGGATATTAGACAAAGTATAAAAGGAAAGACAATAGACATATAATAATTTCATTTTCCGGAAGTCTTTTTCGGCAAATGAAAAATAATTTGGACTGCTCAGATTGGGAATCGAACCCAGATCGTTACGCGCCAAGAGCTCTACGAGTTAAGCTATCCGAGACTCGTACTTGAAAAACCAGCTGTTTGTGTGCCGGGCTAATTATGTGAATGGCTGTGAATTTACACCATCCAGGGCACCACCCAAACGCATACAAAATTCATCCAAATCGGTCCAGCCGTTTAAGAGGACTTCAGTCACATACACACGTACAGTAGAAGTATATATGTATATATATATATATATATAAGACAATAGTCTGTATTTCAATTGCAAGAGGCTAAATAAAACTTCTATTTGTTTCTCTGTAAGTAAAGAATGCAATTTTATTTATCGAGTAGGTTACACACTGGTACAATCCTTACAAGACTAACACAATCTTACCTGTAAGTAAAGAAACGACAATAAAAGTTCATTGTTATCACCTCTCGATGCAATAGCTTAACTAAGTATGAAATAATTAACAAATAAAATTAAAATACAATTCAACAATCTCAGCATATTTGTCCTTTACATCTTTGACAATGTATAGTTGACGTGACACGCGCGGCGCACTCACGAACTAGAGTGGCGCGAATATTCAAATTAAAGAGATCATTCTCTTTACATCTCCCTCCTTCAGGATGAGAATTCTCAGTAATTCTCATGGTAGCGTACATATTATTCAGGTATCCATCATTTATTAGTCATTCGAATAAGTTTTGTTATATGGTAAGCTTGTATGGTTTGCCTGTGTTTATTTTGTATATGTATTGAAGTTGATTAAGTGGCCGATTAAAGCCATTTTTTTCCTATTTAATTTGCGTTTTCAACATATACCAGTTCTCATGTTGAATAATTGTCTTCTGCTTTATCAAATAATTTCTTATTATATGATGTGATCAAGAAAGGGTGTATTTGAACCCAAGTTTCGTATCTAGGTGTGAGTTTTGTGGAAAATGTGGTGATCCTTAAAGATAATGGGAAAGCTGTACTGTATGTGGTTTCATATACTTATCTATACATTCCTGCAAGAGTAGGATTTCTTTTCATTCTGTATGACTATTTTATAAAGTGTGTTCAATGTGAGTCGTTTGAAAATGGTGTATTAGCAGTAAATATTAGTTTTAATATATCTGTAAAAATTTTGAATTCTTTTGAATTTAATCTGAAGGTAGTAATATCTAAGTTTGTCTAGAACTTTACTAACTTGATGAAATAGATTGGTTTTGATAGAATGAAGAAATCTTGTAAAATGATAAAAAAGTGAGGTATGTGATTTGTCCTCAAAGCACAATGGTATTATCGACATTATCTGAAAGGTGGGAGATGTGACATAATGATTGGCTTGTTTATTTTTTATACAGGTTTCACAATTGTTGCAATCTTTTAATGTTTCTGTAAATTCTTTGCTGTATAATAAGGACTGATTAATCATTTGGTGACTAAATACACCATTGGTGTGTGTTTCCTTTATTAATTTCACACTCGCTTCTTCAGATAATATAACTATTTCTTGTTTCGATCTTTTGAAGTATCCCATTTCTTTCGATTATTTTGTTTTCTTTATGTGTGTCTGCTTAATATCATCTATGTTATAGATTAGTTTTAAAATTTCTTCATCATATCATATCTTCCAATATGGGAAGAGGTTCGTATATTCTTCCCAAAAGAGGAAGTAATTGTGACAAATAAAAGTTAATTCACAAGTTATATGTTTAGCCTTTAGTTGAGGTTTTAGGGTTGTGATGAAAAAGGTGAATTTCTTCCAATAACCAATATTGCCAGTATTTGATAGCTTCTTTTATTGCTAAGCATTAAGGTAAGCTTCTTTCTTTTGTGAATATTGAGTTTTTTTAAAAATAGCCAACTGGTTTTCTTACCATTTTTTGAATCTGTTTTAAATTGACCTATACCATTAAGAGGATGTTAAATGTAAAGGGGTCTTTATCAAATATTTCGAGAACCGGTTGTGAGCATAATATATTTTTTATATTAGAAAAAGTTTCTTCACATTCTTCTGACCATATAAACTGGGCATCTTTCCTCAATAATTTATGTAGTGGATCAATAATATCGAACTATTTGGTATATATTGGGTAAAAGTTAATCTTTCCCAGAAACTGTCTAATATTCTTTCGGGTTTTGGGTGTTGGGAAATTTCTTATTGAAAAAGTATGGGGTTTAGTATATTTCTATATATGTCCAGGATTAGATGTTGTGAAATGTGATTTTTAAATTTTAATTGAATCCTTCTTTTATTATTGCTTTGAGTACTTTTTCTATGTGATCTATATGTTCTTAAAGATTGTGAAAATATTAAGATATCATCAATGTAATTGTGAAGTCTTTAAGTTATTATTTTTAATATATTTGATAAAATTCTTGGAAAATGGAGGTGATGTTTTAATAAATGGGGAAGTATAAATCATTTGTGACAAATCTGTCTTTGTTGTCTCAATAGTAGTGGTATAGACAAAAGGGAATTTATGTAGTGTGGAAAATATTACAATTTCTTGTTTAACAATAAGTGTTATCAATGGAAATGGTGGGGGGATTGTTAGTTACGAAAATAAAAAGTCTGAGATTTCGTCTCTTTTAAATGCCAAGGTAATGGTGTGGA